CCAAGATCTGAGTGAGTGGAGTGCCTTAAAATCGCCCAGAGCGAACGAGCCTATTCTCGTCCAAACCTTCGAATCACCCAAAATCTTAGCAAACATGAGGTAATATAGTTATCCAGAGTAGTAGTTATTGAGCAGCCTTATCACACAACGACGAGAGTAATGGCAACAGTTCAGAGAAGGTAGTTCCATGACAAATCAGTCATTATGAAGAAAGTGGGTAGTTATAGAGCAATCAAGCAGTTTCCAAGTGGTTTGTCATGAATGAATTATCAAGAAAGTATAAAAGGAAGAGAAGACATAAGGAAAAGCACCCCGAATCAAACACTCTCAAATAGAGAATATGTAATTTCAATTTCTTAGTTTAACTTTAAACACTTCTTTTAGTACTTGTGTGCTTGCGCCCCTTGGAGGCATTCTGTTTATTTTCAATTGTAAATCATCGCCAATAAAACACAATTTTTTGGGACTTTGTTTCAAAAGGTCTGTTCCTTACACAATCATTTGAATCATTTTTTAATTGTTAGTGACAACCCATGCAAAACACTAAGGAAGTTAATATGTTGTCTATTATGCTATATATTATTGTCTAATACTGTGTACAAAACAAACTGTTAGGGATTTGAGAAGGTGGACTTTTGTATCGAAACGTATTCGGGAAACTGTAATGCATGAGAAATCCACACGTGAGTGTATTGTGGGAACAAGGAAGAAAGCAAGTGTTCAAAGGGAGAGTGGAAATTAGACAATACTACACAGCAAAGTGGATAAAAGAACGAGTTAGATACCTGATTGAAGAATGGCCACGATTCCATATTCTGAGCTCTAAGTCTATCCGAGTCAATTGCCTGATAGTTTGTTCTGGATCTCAGAAGCTTTGGTCTCTGCTCAGAGTGTAAATTGGTGGGCAATTTCAACAATTACGCAGGCATGAAGAAAAATTCAAAAGAAATCACTCTCTGGTAACAGCTTCAAGAATAATTATATCATTTGAGGGGAAAAATGCAGTTTAAAATCCATAAC